GGAAGAAGCTGTCCCAGTGGAAATTCCTCCTTATGAAAAGAAGACAAAAGGAATAAGGATGATTTGACGCTGTTCAAGTGGCATGCAGGCTCCTGGCTATCAAGGTATGAACAGGTGGAACTAAGGCATATAGTTCCTTTGAACATTAGCCATTGTATTAGTGATAGAGTAACGAGAGACTAGCAACGTTTCGTCTTTGGGGAAAGTGGTTGTAGAAAAGAAAATAATTCATCTACCAAAATGCCGCGTAATTGTTTTTGAATTCTCTCAAGGCTGGAAAGTGAAACTGGGCAGCAACAACCCAGGACTATCATGTAGAGATAATTCAGGGCTCTTAGTGTTAGGTACTTCCTGGAGCGGCACAATGAAACAAGCAGTTTTGCAGTATCTTTAGCAATAATATAAATATGCCGTTGAGGTCTGGAAGACACTTAAGCCCCAAAAGATATTCGAGGAAAGAAATCTCATTAAGAGCGCCACCACTCTTCAGAAATATAATAGATCTACACGGTTTTGATGAACATTTAATAGCTTTGTCTAGGAGGGACTTAATGACTGAAGTCTATTTTAATACTATTGAGCTGTGTGACGAAAGCAGATAGCCTAAACACGCATATACGCATATATTCGGGTTAATTTCCGCCTAGCAACAGAATAAAGATCACGTGGGAGTCTTATGACATTTTTGGAAGGCAGGTCAAAAGGTTGATTGACCCAATTACCCGTAGCGACAAATGTCTAGACAGAAGCTAGACAGGGGACGGATGTAAGCTGGAATTCGCGCCAAAGCTTAAGACACGTGACAGTCAGAGATTCACTCGAGAATCAGTCGCTATCTTGACTTGGAAGAGGCAAGACCTGAAGCCGAAGCGCTGATAGTTTATGAACGGAAAGATAAGACGCATTTGATAGTGATGGAACCTATCCAGTTCAACCCAGGCAATTCCGGACAAGAAATATAGCAAGAAGTATTCCTGTTCGAGAACCCCAAATTGAAGATGCATAGAACTTTATACGCTGAGGAATCAGCCTGCGTTTAAAGAGAACGGATATCCAGAGAGGAAGAAAGTATATACCTCTGTTACAAGTTGAATTGTGTAATGAAAGAAAAAGGAAAACCAGAGAAGAAAGTGTATACCTCTGTTATAAGCTGAATTGTGTAAAGAAGGAGAAGGAAAGAAAGAAGAAAACCAAAGAGAGGAAGAAAGTGTATACCTCTGTTACAGCCGGACAGTGTGTGAAATTGTGTTTGTGTCGGGAAAAAGAAAAGAAAGGACATTGATATAAAAAAAGAGAACTGAATATAAAAGATAAGTAATCATATTTTGGACCCGTAGTAGAAAGATATACATACATCCATGAATATTATGTTCTTGCAAACATATTTCCACATGTCAAAACAATAATTGTAACTCCTATCCCATCTCTTTTGTGTATGCGCTGGCTTCTACATTCAATTCATAGTAATTCATACTTATATTTTGTATGTTCCGGTTCAGTTGAATCCATTTGGTGTTAGGCGAATTTTGATATCCCAACGTAAGTTTTGAGATCTGGTCGTCGGATGATTTAACTCATACTTATATGTTCTTTTATTTTGATATTTGTATATTTGTACATATTAAAATTCTTGTATAAAAAATCGCTAAGCCTTATAGTTCATCCTTGTATTGTGGATCAGTATTCGTGTTGAAAACGACGCGGACCTGGGAAAGATTATTGTTCGATTATCTCAATCGAACAGTGGTCTTAAAAATATTTTTGTTTACCAATTGTCCATTGTCACGATCTGGGAGAGATAGCTTGTATCTCTCCACAGGTGTGAGAATGTATATATCTCCTAGTCGGCGTATGATCGCCTTATATACCCATTCGTCGATTGGAGCATATGACAGCTGTGGGAGCTAGGTTAGCGTAGAGATCAGCTATCAGGCGCAAATCCTACTTACCGAAATTTGATCAAATTACTGAACGTTAGTTAATAGTCATTTCTTTTACCTTAACCAGGTATTGAACTCACACTCCTTAGGTCCTGTCACTGGATCTAACTAACGCCTTTATCCACTGTGCCATGCGTCCTTGAGGAGAAATGTGAAGAACTTGGGGAGAAATTGGAGAGGGGAATTAATAGGAGATAACTGATAAGTGACATCCATTAGACACGGCACGTGGAACTAGAACAGTCTACCCCAGTGAGCGAAATAAAGGGTTCAGTTCGAATATTCCAACCACCATTAATACATTTCTGAAAAAAATGTAGCAAAAATATATTTAGCGTATTCTCCAAAGTATTTATTATTCAGTCGGAATCTAGTTTCTAGATTCTAGCATTCGGATTCTAATGTCAGAATCTGGTCCGGTGATTTTGTTAATAAGGCCGGAGCGTACAACGGCCGAAACGTTGTGATAAATGTGGCAAGAAAGATGAGGACGATAGTCCTAACAATGTAAATAGTGTCGAACAAGGTATTCAAAGGAATGTAGATTTTATAACCGATTTCACAAAGCTCCACAAATATTCAATACGCGCACCATTGACACGACACGCGTCAAGTCGGTAGTCCAGCTCCTGCTAAACACGCTATAGCATGCCTTGCGTAACATTCTCCAGCGGCACAGTGATTCTCTGCTTAGGTTCCTCTAGGCTTGTAGGGAAAGAGGGGATATAGACCTTTCCTTTCGCATAGCCCCAGAAAAGATCACATGTTGTCATGTCAGGTGAACGTGGTGGCCATTTCAACAGGGTATCGTCATTTTCATTGGCATCCCCGATCCATCTTCCAGGTAGATTCTCATTGATGGTGTCCAAAAGTCTTTGTAGGTGACGAATTATTTCCCACTCTCCCTCCCTCTCTCTTTCTCTCTCTCTCTCTCTCTCTCTCTCTCTCTCTCTCTCTCTCTCTCTCTCTCTCTTTCTCTCTCTCTCTCTCTCTCTCTCTCTTTTTCTTCCACGGAAAGTGAGTGGACGAACACTTGTTCCTGCCAGGTCTAACCTTCACAGATAAGACCCAACATGCCACTTACATTATCGTAAACCACCCATATCCCATCCGTATCCCATCGGTGAGATGTAAGTTTCACATGAACAGCTTCTTCCCGCGTATTTTTGCTCTGTGGAACCGACTCCCAAGAGGATGTTTCCCCGATCACTACAATCTCAATCTGTTCATCTAGGATTAACCGTTACCTTCCTCTGCTATTAGTACAAACTGCCTCCTAACGTAAACTAGTACTTCGAGTGACCCCCGGCCCTTGAACAGGGTAAACCATACTGTCCTGAGTATGACAATAAACTACAACCGGCAGCAAGGCGTCTGATCGGGAGATTGGAGGCTTTGAGCAGCGGGGAACTACCTCTTAATTGCTGTTGTTCCCAGCTCTACCATAATCTATGGTTGTAGCACTTGTTACATTCTCAGATATGGGCCAATAGTGACCCCCCCCCGAAATGGTTAACAGTACATTTTTATAATAAAATAACCAACAATAGTTTTTTTATACCAAAATGAAAATCAATGCAACAAAAAAATATAAAAATACGTTTTTATCGCAAAATTACCAAAAATACATTGTATAATCTGCAAACTATATTTATAAAAATAACAGGACTTTACTATGAAAATGTTATGTTCCGTGTGAGTTTGTTTCAAACATACTCGTTGCCACTGTTATATTCGGTGCTAAGGGAATAAACACATAACACCAAATAGATACTAGAAGTACAATGTGAAATATGGTACAGATATACACACATGTTAGTCTAGTAGTAAGCGCTACTAAATGGCAGGTCGGAGGTGCTTGCGTCGTCTCCGTTACATACTTACTTACTTGAGTTTTTCGTAGACGGTTGACTTTATAGGGACCTGCTACCTATAGTGTAATCATCCATGGGGGTGATTGGTTATTTCATTATATCTGAAAGTATAAAAATGTGTACAAAATACCTGTAGTTGAAAGCTTAAAGTTACGTGGAAAATATGTAGATTTCGGCATTAAATAACCCATAGCGGTGTTGATATGCCGCTAAACAAAATCAACAACCAACAAACTTACAGTAAAAAAAATAAATAAATAAATAAATAGATAAGTCCGCACTGTTAACTTAGAATTTTAGACATTTTGTTAAAATTTCGAGACCATTGGAGCGAGAATTGGCTGTTATTTGATGACAAAATCTTGTAATTTTTTTTTTTTTTTTTCGTGGGGACACCGTGTATATCGATAAAAGTTAAAGAATTACATCTACATTTCCTCTCTGGTGAACCCTCTCCTCCAGTTCTCAACGCCAAAAAAAAAAAAAAATACGTGAAAGAGAAAGAAAGAAATTAAAAAAAAGAAAATGACGAAACAAACATGTAAAAAGTAAACCCACTTTTTTTGTTTATGAAGCAGCAATGCACTCCTGACTTCTTGTCATGCTTTGATGATTAGCCGAGACGTCATTAAACAATTAACGATGCTAAACACATTACGCGAATCACCTCATCGGAGAGAAACATTTTTTTTTAACCGATTGCCAAAACTAAATCCGGACTAATTGTTCTTGGCAGTCAGGATTCTTGGCTGGACTATTAAAATCAATTAATGGTTCTTTTGTTTTCTGACTTCAAATACAGAGTTGAGACAATGAGTTTTCAGTCCGCTATTAAGAACCATGTAGTTCTTAATATTAATATTATTACGATTTTAATATTACTTTGTTCATTTGTCGTTTGTTAGTCACGAGAGTCGTAATAGTTTAAGTGATGTGAGTACGAAAGGATAGTCATTAGTATCAATGGGTCTCTTAATGCAAGTATCTTGAAAGTCATCATCATCATCATTATCAGCAGCAGCATCATTATCATCATAACCGATATTATGATCTGAATTCTTCATTTCGGTTTACGGCGTACAGCCACCGAAGTTAAGCAACGTCAAGTCTGGTCAGTATCTAGGTGGGAATACCAGGTGATGTAAGTCTGGATGTGCAGCTGTTATAAAGTGATCACGGCCACATCACGTTGCCATACGATCACCGAAGTTAAGCAACGTCGGGCCTGGTCAGTACCTAGACGGGTGGCCGCTCGTGAATACCAGGCGATGTAAGTTTGGAGTCGCAGCTTGTATAAAGTGCTCACGGCCACATCACTTTGAAACATCGGTTGCCGTACGATCACCGAAGTTAAGCAACGTCGAGCCAGGTCAGTACCTAGACGCGAATACCAGGTGCTGTAAGTTTAAATGTGCAGCTGTCATAAAGTGATCACGGCCACATCATGTTGCCGTACGATCACCGAAGTTAAGCAACGTCAAAATTGGTAAGTACCTAGGTGGGTGAACGCCAGGGCATACCAGGAACTGTATTCATTACACCACCCACACATCCAGTGTGGGTGGTGTAATGGATACTGGCTCTGAAGTGTTAATCGGAGAGCCGTGTTCCATTTTCCGTTGGGTTCATTATATTCACTTACGCGCAAATATTAACCCTTAGGTAAGGTATGAATTTAATCCTTCACCCCAGGTTGGGGTTAATTAATTGTATCACTAAATCATTATTATCTCAAACACATAATCTTATAATCTAAAAATATTTTCTAGCTTTAATCAGCTGCAATGGGTTGATAAACCGTAGAAAATGAATTAATCAATCTCTCTATGTATGGAGCTGTTTTCTCCATTACCATTACCTAGTGTGCCTTCTTGGATTAACGTTTTCCGCTGACCTGTAGTGAGAAGATTGTATTGAATCAATTGCTTAGTCTGCTGATAAGAAAATTGTTTCTTTCTGTCGTACTAGGCATTTTTTTCGCCTGAATCTATCTTACATATTTATAAGTCTACCATAAGTCTACCCTTCGTCTTTGCTTCGAATATTGCTGTGACAATTTGTTTAGAGTTCATTATATATATTTAGATATAAAATCCGAAAAAAGAATCTGCAATATTATTGGTCCTGATCTGACATCTTAGCTTCAGTCACTTTCTAATATGGCTCCCCTGTGCTTTTTCTATAAATTCTTTCGTGGTACCTGTTCTGATAAACTTTCCAGTATGGTAGCTAGGCTTTATAAAATTAAGTGCAGTACTAAATTGGCGGTAAGGTTTCGTCATTTGACAGCTGCAATGGCTAGATGTTACCGTAAGATCTATGCAATTAATTCCTTCTATCGCACTTTTCGCATGTGGAACTCTCTACCGACTTAATGCTTTCCAGTCAATTTTGAGATTCAAAATTTTGAATTCAATATCAATCGTTCTTTTTGTCTTCTTAATTCCTGTTCTTTTATTGATTTTTTTTTCATATTCTCTAACAGTAAGCGCCTTGCGTCTTAGTGGTCCTGTTACCCTGCTTAGGGTGAAATGATATTTTTTTAATTGTTTAATTAATGTGACTTTGCTATGAGAAATCACTTTTTTTTATTTGTCATCTTCAAACACAATATCTTCTCTATTAGCTTTTATATGCCTGTCAGTACGAATGTTAAAGCCCCAAATAATAGTGATATCATAGCTTTCTCTGACTTTTTCTGGATCAAACTCATACCTATTTATGGTAATATGTAATACTGGTATAGCTTCCAGTAAATATGCGACATGATCTTTCTATCCCTTCGGTGTCAAGAATCGACGGACACTAAATGATTAATAACCCTCCGAAAATATTTATTTACGTTAGACTGACGCCATTGACAGCAATTTGTGATTGGTTTTCGTGTTATGACAGTGAATTGACTAGTAATTCAAGACATACTACGACTGTGACGAAAGCAGTCGATGCAGTAATAGTCCTGGTGAGCTTCATGAGACAACATGCAAGAAACATCTGACTTTGGCATCTTAAATCTGGTAGGAAACGATAAAACCTTGAGACGTTACCTTGATTATGAGGCTAACTCTCAATGCATTCAATATCTTGGAACCTACTAAGAGACACGCTGAAAGTAATTTCTTAACCCTTGAAGTTCTTACTCTGGTAGCGAATGTAATAATTATTCAAGACATTTCGTCGATAATGTTGAAGGCAATCAATGAAGTGATTGTGATTTCTTTTTCTCAAGCATATCACCACAATGAAGGCGATAAAGCCAATAAGACGCAAAGAATTACTGAATATGATAGATTATGAGAAAAAGAATCCAGGCTTACAGCATCTGGTATTCATATGCAGTCACCCATATATGTACTAGCAATAGACAACGTGGCTTAACTTCGTTGATCATACGAGAACCTGTGTTTCAACGTGATACGCCCTTAAGTTGCTGCCTGTACGAATGTTATTAATGTAAGTAATGATAATTCCATAATTCATCCGCACAAACGTTTCAGTTAAATAGCCAATGGCTATCGTCAGATTTCATTATTTTGAATGATATGGGGTGTTTTCCATGTGCTAATTACTGTTTTATTATTTTTATATATTTGGACGCAATGATGGTTAATAAATCGTTGCTGTCTTCTAGTGCTCATGAATTCAATCCCTGTGTCATGTACATATAGTCCTGTTCAGGAAAATTGTGCACAATTCAGAGAAATAAAAGTTACGTAAAACTGGCGCTCCACACATACCAGAGAACTGAAATATCTGTCAGCTAATAGGAGGGGGGGAGTCTAAGGAATTAGATTACAAAAAAGATAGGTGACAAAATATATAGGCCTATGCTCTTACGTCATCTTGTTAAGAAATATTGATTTACTAAGCGTAGCTTTGATTTGGCTGCAACTATAAGACACCTAGTGAGGGTCAAACTCACTGCTCAATCCTGATTGATCTAGTTAGACATGCTTACTAATCATTTGTCGAAGTGCCTCACAATTTTCTAAGCGTTGCACCGATGTGTCACATGGCCACAAGTTCGGAGAGCTGATTGAAGATCGAACCCACTACTAAGTAGTAATTGATCTAACGAGACAAACTGTTTTCAGTTGAAAGTTATTTTTAAAAAAATTCTCTTAAAACGATTTAAAAATAATAGGTTTCTTATGTCCAGTAGCTGTTATTGCTCTTTCCTGTATTGATGGAGGTTTCCTTCCTAACCTTTCTTCGAAGTAGTGTGTAATGTCAACATCTTGATTATATCTTTTATTTTCTCTTCGACTTACATCTGCTATCTATTTTAGTTGTTGCCGTTCTTGGTAGACCTCAAATGTGGTTACCCGTCCTGGGTATGACGATAAACTAACATCCGCGTCCTGGGTAAGACGATAAACTACATCCAACAGCAAGGACTCTGATCAATAGGTTTTGAGGAGCGTGAAACCACCTCTTAATTGCTGTTGTTCCCAAGTTCCTCCTGACCCGGCGTGGCAGCACCTGTTAAGGTCACAGCTATGGTTAAATAGTTAACCACCAAACTGGGGTCAAAACAATATGAAAGTGTAAAAATAGCTTTTAATACGAGAAATATTTTGTAAAAAAATTATTACCAGCAATACATTATTTCCAGCAATACATTTTTGAAAAAAAATATTACCAGCAATACATTTTTGAAAAAAATATTACCAGCAATACATTTTTGAAAAGAATATTATCAGCAATACATTTTTGAAAAAAATATTATCAGCAATACATTTTTGAAAAAAATATTACCAGCTATACTTTTGTGAAAAAAATATTACAAGCGATATATATTTGAAGAAAAAATATTACCAGAAACAGATATTTGAAGGAAAAAAAATTACCAGCAATACATTTGAAAAAAAATGTTAGCAATAAGAATTTTGTCGGCATTAAATAAACCATTGAGGTTGATATGCCGTAAAACAAAACAAAACAAATCAAATGTGGTTTCTGTTTTTTTTTTTTTTTTTTTGTACAGTTCTTCGTTTGTGATATTGTAGTGCCAGTCCACAATGTTCAAAGATGGATGATTTTGCCAAAACCGTCAGGTTTCACTCGCGCGTAGACATTTTAACCATTGATCCGAGTAAGCAGTTGAATATGGGTGACAGTTTGGATATTTCTGAACAGGTTTGGCACCACAGATGGCATTCATACTAAAGTTTCGACCTGACGATTCTATTTAAGATCATGACTCGAATTTTCAGGTAATTGTTTTGATTTTGTAGCAATGTCCTTTTCTCTTGTAAAAAATTTGTTAATAACTCATGTTGAACCCAGTGCGAATCAAACTCGCTGCTCAGAAGTTTTTTTTTATTTTTCAGCGCACCCACATCGCTACATTTGACATTCAATTCAAGCTGTTAATACTTTCGGTTGAAATTTATAAAATTCATGATAATAGGTTTCTCAAGTCCAGTAATTTTTATCGATGGGGTTTCCTTCCTAACTTTTTGTTTGAAGTGGCGTAGAATATCCTCATCTTGATTATGTCATTATTTGTTGATGATGATTGGTAATCCTCAAGTGATGTGGTTTTCTTTATTTGGTATAGTTCTTTGTGATTCTGTAGCGTCAGTCCACAATATTCAAAGAAGGATGACCGATGCCAAGACTCTCAGGGCTTACTCGCTCAAAGCCATTTGTGACCATTGATCTTAGGAAGCAATTGTATGCAACTGACAGTTTAGATATTTCTGAACAAGTTTGGCGCCATAACTGGCATCCATATGAAAGTTTCCATTTAAGAACATGACTCGAATTTTCAGGTTAATGTTTTGGATTATAATAATATCCTTATCATTTGTAATAAACTTGTTATTATTGATGGAGAACACAGTGCGAATTAAACTTTTTACTTACAAGTTTGTTTGTTTTTTTTTTGTTTTTTTTTTTTTTTTTTTTTTTTTGTTCATTTTTGTTCAGTGCACCCACATCGCTACCAAAGGTGAAAGGTTTAAAGTTGTTTAACTGCAATACTGCAGGAAAATTGCCCAAGCCTCTCAAAAAATCACCTTTTGTTGACGCCTCAGGCGCCGGGCAAATGACCCAGCCCCCTCCCGAAGGAGAGGTACTGCTTGTGGGGAAGGCTTCCTAGTGATTGGTCTTAACTTTTTTAAACTTCCCCGCGGAAATCACTACCCAGAAGTAATATTCAACCAAACTTAGCCTGTTAACCATTTACGCTATGCCAAGTTAAACAAATGTGTCCCATGGTTCAAAGTTGAGTTAGATGTTTTGAAACGTCCAATCTTTGAACTAGCTA